CCCAGCGACTTAACACTGCTTTTGTGCTGCAGGGTCACATTTAATGAATAACACTTATTGTGCTCACTTGGTGAATAATGTCAGGTTGACATCACTGATCAATGTCAAACTGAGATTATCTAACACAATGCCTTCTTACTAGTTAATGGAAATCCTAATGCCTTTCTTAAGGATTGCTTAACCACGTACTGAATCTCTGGCTTATGGTCACAATAGAAGGCGTAAAACTGGAAAAGAAGGGCAGGGGATTTAAAAAGATCCCATTCTGATCAAACAATCAAGTTCACATTACAGAATCTGTACATTTCATTTACTTCACTTAACATATAATACGATATAAGAATTTTTTTTTTTTGTACCTGTCTGTGTAGCATTTAATCCAAAGTATAGTACAATCCAGTCAAGCATCCATATGACTATTCTGGTGCGTCTCCCCATGCTTGTCCTGTAGATTTGTGGATCCTTCACAGGTGTTTGAGGATGGAAAGCGCTTGTGTTTTCTATTTTATACCACCCTCCTTTGTGTGAAGGCCTAGGAGGGGCTGAGCGAGGATATGCGTCAAAAAGTCTCTAACCCTCTGAATGTATGAATATGACATTTTAAAGAAAACATTCCAAGTTCTGCTTAAGTGCATATTTTAATATGAAATCACAGTGTTTCAAACTATATCAAAGTAATTACACTGTAAAAAAAAAAAAATTATTGTAGTACAATTTCACGTTTAATTCAACGTGTTACAGTACATACCCTTTCTATTTAATTTGTGAAATTGACTAGAAATTTCCGAGTGAAAATAGTTCCTTTCTGCACAATTATTATTTTTTTCAGTGTAGGATATGATAGTAGAATAGTATTTTATTATTCTCGTGAGGGAAATTACCAAATATCAAATGTGTAGTTAAAGTACATTGTGATTTTTCTGATTATGGAAGTTAAAAATAGAAGATTCCACTTGAAAGAATTCACACAAACTCTTAATTAATTAGGCTCTTTCAAAACGATTACCTCATGTT